ATATATATATATATATATATATATATATATATATATATATATATATATATATATATATATATATATATACCCGTCTGTGACATTCATCAGTGTTTCCCATTGTTGTGTTTTTCAAGAGATCCATAACCTTTAAGCACCTTTTTGCATTAATATTTTTTGTATCAACCCATGTATATCTTGTAACCATCAAATGCATAATAAAGCACAAAAAATATTTAAGGAAGGGGGTGGTAGGAGAAAAGCACACAGAAACTGTATTGGAGGGGAGCTAAACATTCCCTCTAATGCGTTATGCGTGGTTTCCTCCGAGGCTATGGGTCCCCCTTCTTCCAGCTAGAGGTGGTACTCCCTTCCCTATATATATATATATATATATATATATATATATATATATATATATATATATATATATATATATATATATATATATATATATATATATATAATATATATATATATATATATATATATATATATATATATATATATATATATATATATATATATATATATATATATATATATCCCAGAAGTGACTCGAACCCATACTCCCAGAAGCAACGCAACTGGTATGTACAAGACGCCTTAATCCACTTGACCATCACGACCGGACAAAACGAGGTGATAGCCGAGGCTATTTGAACCACCCCACCGCCGGCACTCGGATAGTAATCTTTTGTCCGGTCGTGATGGTCAAGTGGATTAAGGCGTCTTGTACATACCAGTTGCGTTGCTCCTGGGAGTATGGGTTCGAGTCACTTCTGGGGTGTGAGTTTTCAGTTGCATATTGTCCTGGGGACCATTCAGGCTTGTTCGCATATATATATATATATATATATATATATATATATATATATATATATATATATGTTGTTGAATATGACCGAACAGGTAAGAATAATAATTCTAACACGAATCTTCTCAATATTTCTTATGGTTTTCTTCACTGTCGGTGGTATTAAAAATAACAATTCTCCAAAATTCATTTTTTTAATTGTCTGACGCCAGAACGCGTTTCGTAATTCGTATTACATTTTCAAAGACTTAATTTACACACAAATTCTTCGTACTTATACTCTATTGGATGAGGTGATATGGTACAAAAGTTTTGGGTGAGGTGACCAACACAAGACAGAACACGAAACATTGGGAATAAATTGAATAAGTGAACATATGAATGGAAGTAACTGCATAAGGTCTGTTGGCCCATACTTCCTCTTGCTGCTTTCATATTGGTTCGGGGTCTTGAAGTAGGTAGAATATAGTTGTGCATTAATTGGCTGTTGATTGCTGGTGTTGAAAGGGAAAGATTAATAATTCTAACACGAATCTTCTCAATATATCGTACGTTCTTCTTCACTGTCGAGGGTAATTGATAAATTAACTCTACAAAATTCCCTCTTTTATTTCTGGTCTGACGCCTGATCACATTTCGTATATGTATTTCTATCGCTGTATTTATTGATGATTTCTGTGTTGCTTGTTCAGATTTCTCTGGTGATGGTCTGGTTGTGTGAGATTATATGCTCCTTGATGGAGCCCCTGTTGTTTTTTGCATTGTTAATCGCCTAGAAAGAGACCTTGTCGTCTTGCCTATATACTGAGATCTTTGGGGCTGACAGTCCCCAAGTGGGCATGTGAAGGCATAGCTGACGTTGGTCTCTTTTAAGGCATTCTGTTTGATGCCTGGAGAGTTCTTCGTGAGTTGGTTTGCAGTCTTCTTGTTTTTGTAGTAAATTTTTAATTGTATCTTCTGATTTGTGTCTGGGGATAACGTTCCTATCAATATTATCTTTTAGGACACTTTTCTCCTTTTTATGAGCCGTCGACAAGAAATTTCTGAAATACAATCTAATAGGAAGTACATGTGTTGTGTTTGTTGATTCTTCAGAGGTTGCATAGCGTGTCATCTTTTTTTTATTGACGTTTTCAATATGTTGAAGATGTCATAGAAAACTCATAAAATGGAGGAAAGTGTCCTGAAAGATTTTATTGATAGGAATGTTATATATGAGTTTGGTGTTTCACCAAACTCAGGAAAAATCCTCTTGATGACATCAAGTTCTTCAATAGCAGCTTGATTATGTTTTTCAGTAACCATAAAGATCTTTTTAATCAGTTTAGTACCTCATCTCCTTTATTACCATATCTCAATGGACTTGTCAAGACTCATAAGCCTAACTATCCCATGAGACCAATCATCAGTTTCGTGGGATCCATTTCTTACAAGCTCTCTAAATGGCTTACCAAAATCTTGTAATCTGTTCAAAATCATAGAAAAATCCTCTATGGAGGCACGGCCTCCATGATACCGTTCGCTGATTGGTCATCTTGAAGAACAAGGGAAGAGTGTTGGTGGGGGGGGGGGGGAGGCCGCCAGCCCTTGTTCCAGCATTCTGAGATCATCTTCGGTACTGTGAAGACAGGAGAACCATAACATAAGAACAAGGTAACTGCAGAAGGCCTATTGGCCCATACGAGGCAGCTCCTATCTATAACCACCCAATCCCACTCATAAACATGTCCAACCCACGCTTGAAACAATCAAGGGACCCCACCTCCACCACGTTACGAGGTAATTGGTTCCACAAATACACAACCCTGTTACCGAACCAGTATTTACCAAAGCCTTTCCTAAATCTAAACCTATCCAATTTATACCCATTGTTTCGTGTTCTGTCTTGTGTTGATACTTTTAATACCCTATTAATATCCCCTTTGTTATGTCCATTCATCCACTTGTAAACCTCTATCATGTCACCCCTAACTCTTCGCCTTTCCAGTGAATGCAAGTTAAGGTTCATATGAAAGATTTCTAATTTGGGGAATTAACTTAGTCATCTTACGCTGGACACGTTCAAGTGAATTTATATCCATTCTATAGTATGGCGACCAAAACTGAACTGCATAATCTAAATGGGGCCTAACCAGAGCAAGATATAGCTGAAGAACAACACCAGGTGTCTTGTTACTAACGCTTCGATTAATAAATCCCAGTGTCCTATTTGCCTTATTACAAACATTCAGACATTGATCCTTTTGTTTTAAATTCTTACTAATCAAAACTCCCAGAAAACTTCTGCAAATGTTACCGTATTCACTGTTTAAACGCGACTTGATCAGCAAAGTTTTTATCTATTCCGTCCTAGGGGTCCTGTCAGTCAGAATCCGTTACCGCGACATCGTGAATATCGATAATGAAGTGAATTAAGATACACAGAAGAGAGACTCCACATGTGTTCACCTGCAGAGCAGCTGGACTGTAGTGTATTAATCCGTGATCATCGTGTTAATTCTTGGAGATCCGTCAACATACCGCTCAGTAAACTGTTTAGTAAGAATCTAAGATACGATTTCCTGTGACTTAAGTAAAATTTGTGTGAATAATGTAAAAATTACGAACTTTTATGGACTTAGAATATTTTCCTGTTTGTCAACCCCGTGTGATTAACATGTGGTGTACATCTTGCTATGCCACCACCCAACCAGTGGTGGGTACTTGCCTCCTCACGCCACCCATTTGGAGCAAGTGATTCTTGCCACTGTGACCCTAAGTCCACGTGGGACTCCCCAGTGTTGTTGCCATGCACACACCTACCCACACGTGTTTGCGTGAAAGGGATTTACCACGCGCGGTCTGTGTTGCGCTTGACCACCTATCAAAGGCCGAGCATTACAGAGTGTGAGAGAGAGTTATCTGAATGTAAGCCGGTTTATCAAAATGAATACTCCTAATTAATTATCATATCATTCGCTAAGTGCATAAATTCCTTGTGTGGATTCACATCAACGTCACGGCTTATCGTTCTCATTAACCCGCAATGTGAGAGATCCGCAGGTCGAGGAAGCACATAGGTAAGGCAAGTACAGATAACTGTGTGATTACTGTAGATTGGCCTGAGTGTATGTGTATATTACACTTTTTACACATTTTAGGCATTATAATTTGATTTATAATAAGTGTGTGTGTATTGTAATTGTGCAGTTAAATACATACCATCACTGTGGATAACATTTCCATGTATGTTCTTGTCATGACCTCATGCTACACAGCATCACTGAAATCCATAGCCTGGCCAAAATCAATACTACTCTAGGGTTAAGTAAAAGGCAAGCAAAAATACTCCACTTTACTGGGGTATATAACATAGATCACCGTAAAACAATAAGAGAACTACAGTTCTGTACAACTCATACTGTCACATTAGCCAACTTCTTAAAGTTCTTCGAAATCATCAACAGGCCTTAAACTGCACACCCTTGGGACAAGCTGACACCAGGCTCAATTCTAGCAGTGGTTTATCTTGAGGTTACCTTGAGATGATTTTGGGGCTTTTTAGTGTCCCCGTGGCCCGGTCTTCGACCAGGCCTCCACCCCCAGGAAGCAGCCCGTGACAGCTGACTAGCACCCAGGTACCTATTTTACTGCTAGGTAACAGTGGCATAGGGTGAAAGAAACTTTGCCCATTGTTTCTCGCCGGCGCCTGGGATCGAACCCAGGATCACAAGCCCAGCGTGCTATCCGCTCGGCCGACAGCTTGTATACGGCTCCAGGAATGAATGGTGAATGTTAAAATCTCATGTTCAGTAAAGTCTTAACCTTTTTTATTCTCTACATCATTGTCACCATTTTATTGTCTATTAAATCTTAAAAATATACATATATATATATATATATATATATATATATATATATATATATATATATATATATATATATATATATATATATTAAAGAGTATCTAAACTATTGATAGGCACTACATTTATTGTTTACCTTAATTAATGCAAAAAACAAAAGTGAACTGCTTAGGCTAATCCTTTACTACTAGTACTGTATTATAATTTGGTGACATCACCTCTATTAGTCATACATCCATCATCCCTATTCCATTTTCAGGTTGAAGAGTTGGAAGGCACTTGATGTTTCATGAGGTGGGTGTCCAAACCTCCAACATTTTAACGCTAGGGATTCAGGGCTATTTGCATAACTCAGTGCTAGATAATTTGATCACCATGTCTCAATGCTATATAAAATTTTATTACTTAAATTATGAAAACTAAATAATGTTTGGCAACGAAAGTCCTACAAATCTTGTGTTTGATTAAGGGTACTGGTGTGGGCAGCTTTTGAGAGACGATGGAGATGGTCAAATGCATGAGGAAGAAAGGGCCGTATGCTATTGATTTCTAGTAGTGTCAATCGATCTAATTTGGCATGTGTGCCTTCACTCTGGATAAATTCTGCTACAGATGACCGAAACTTGGAAATCCTGAGATCCCAAATATCCTTGACAAGTGTTTTCACCTGTTGAGAATTTGTAATGTCTTCTGGAGCAGCTGGCAACATCAACTGAGCAATCACAAGCTAATGCTCACATGGCATTTCTGTGAATACCTTTGACCGGCTTTCTTCTTCTTCTTTTCTAGATGTACCACTAGATGTACCATTTTCTAGATGTACAGCATCTAGTATATCACTAGATGCTAGTGGTACACTAGCATCTAGTATGCTGATAGCACAATTAGAGGATGGTGGTGTCGCACTCATTAATTAGTGGGGTTGAGGAATCAATATCATATCAAAGCATAATAGCATCATCCATATTTCACTTCCGGTAGATAAACGACATGCGAGATTAAGAAACAAATAGTGTACTGTGAAAACTAATAATAAACAGCAGCTCCTCTTTGACTCTGTGATATATTCATTGGTTAAACTATTATGTATTAGCGACAAGATCTACCATTAATGTATAACGACATACTGTAAATATATAACTCTTGAAATATAACATTCTCTGAAACTAGCTGACATGTAACTATAAGGTGTGAAGGATAGATGAAATTCTTTATGTAATAATCTAAAATGAGGTCTGACAAAGACCTTTTGTGGCTTCTGTAATGCTTTTTGTGCTACCGTTCACAGGATGAGTATAGGGTGCACAATAAACTAGCCGCCTTCGGTGGCAACAATCAAGTTTGAACTCATCATACACCAGCCACAGTACTCACCTAATTGTGCTTGCGGGGGTTGAGCTTTGGCTCTTTGGTCCCGCCTCTCAACTGTCAATCAACTGGTGTACAGATTCGTGAGCCTACTGGGCTCTATCATATCTACATTTGAAACTGTGTATGGAGTCAGCCTCCACCACATCACTTCCTAGTGCATTCCATTTATTAACTACTCTGACACTGAAAAAATTCCTTCTAACGTCTCTGTGGCTCATCTGGGTACTAAGTTTCCACTTGTGTCCCCTTGTTCGTGTCCCACCCGTGCTGAAGAGTTTGTCTTTGTCCACCCTGTCAATTCCCCTGAGAATTTTGTAGGTGGTTATCATGTCTCCCCTTACTCTTCTGTTTTCCAGGGATGTGAGGTTCAGCTCCTTTAGCCTTTCCTCGTAGCTCAATCCTCTCAGTTCCGGGACGAGCCTGGTGGCATACCGCTGAATCTTCTCTAACTTTGTCTTGTGTTCAACTAGGTATGGACTCCAGGCTGGAGCTGCATACTCCAGGATTGGTCTTACATAAGTGGTATACAGGGTTCTGAAAGATTCCTTACACAAGTTTCTGAAGGCAGTTCTTATGTTGGCCAGTCTAGCATATGCCGCTGATGATATTCTTTTGATGTGGGCCTCTGGGGACAGGTTCGGTGTGATATCAACCCCCAGATCCTTCTCTCTATTTGACTCTTGCAGGAGTTCCCCTCCCAGATGATACCTTGTGTTCAGCCACCTGCTCCCTTCGCCTAATTTCATCACCTTACACTTTCCCGAGTTGAACTTTAGCAGCCATTTTCTAGACCATTCCTCAAGTTTATCCAGGTCATCCTGTAGTCTCTGTCTATCTTCATCCGTCTTGATTCTTCTCATAATTTTTGCATCATCAGCAAACATCGAGAGGAATGAGTCTATACCCTCTGGAAGATCGTTCACATATATTAGAAACAGGATGGGTCCAAGTACTGAGCCCTGTGGGACTCCGCTGGTGACATCTCGCCACTCTGATGTCTCCCCCCTCACCGTTGCTCGCTGTTTCCTGTTGCTTAAGTACTCCCTTATCCACTGGAGCACCTTCCCTTTTACTCCTGCCTGTTGCTCCAACTTTTTTAACAGCCTTTTATGGGGTACTGTGTCAAAGGCTTTTTGGCAATCCAGGAAAATGCAGTCGGCCCACCTTTCTCTTTCCTGCCTAATTTTCGTTGCCTGGTCATAAAATTCTAGTAAACCTGTGAGGCACGATTTACCATCTCTGAACCCATGTTGGTGGTGCGTTACAAAGTTATTTCCCTCCAGATGCTCTACGAGCCTTTTCCTCACGATCTTCTCCAACTCCTTGCATGGTATACAAGTTAAGGAAACTGGCCTGTAATTCAGTGCCTCTTGCCTGTCACCCTTTTTGTATATTGGGACCACGTTAGCTGTCTTCCAACTTTCTGGTAAGTCTCCTGTTTCCAGTGACCTGTTATACACCATAGAGAGTGGCACACACAGTATGATCATACTGGTGTATGTGTGGTCGTAACAGTTCTTTTCTTTCTCGTTCCAAGAGAAAACCAGTTTGTAAAGTAAGTGGGTAATTACCCAGTTTATTTTAGCTGTAATTACAAGTCACTTGTGTGATTATTGATTTGTCATTTATTAAGATTGTTGTGTTGTGTCATTTAAGGACTGAAGTTTAGCACTGTATTGCTACTGTGTTTGTTGATCTGTGTGACCTGATTTTGTATAAATTGTGATTGCCTTAAAGATGTGGGAAAATCCTAGCAGCATAATTCTTTTAAATTCTGTAAATACTAAATATTTCTTAATTCTTTAATATGATAATTTTTTATCTGATTAATTTTCTTAGTTAGTTCTTAGCAATAAGTTAATTAATTAAGCAAGTAAGTAATTAGGTAAGTGAGTGAACTGTATGTACTGATTCAGCTGCCTGAATTTAACTCACATAATTGGGGGGACAATTTGCAGCTTAAACCACTTTGAGATGGCTCCTTCATGAACCACAAATTGTTTACCTAATAAATATAAATTATAAATTATAGCACATATGGTGCTATAATTTATAATTTTTATAATCTACTATTATTATAGCAATAATTAATTATAATTTCTAATACTATGTCTACAGTATTGTACAAAAAGGGGCTTAGCTGTTCCTGTTGATGGGGCCTGCTAAGGCTGTGTAATTGTAGCATCAAAGTTGGGTGTGGCCCTGTGCCTCTGAGTGCCACATAATGGCGGCTGTCTGGAGGCCTACTAAGCTTGGTGTACCGCTAGGTAATAATTTTATATTGAGGGCCAACTGTCTGCTCTGCTTCTTGTAACTCCAAATCACAATTACCTGCCGAGTTTAAAGAATTAATAATGTATCCCTAAACATATAAGTACAGGTATGACATGGAATATGAGTGTGTTGAGCTGAGTAAACGTACTTGGTTGTGGGGGTTTTCTCATGCATTATAACCGTCTACCTATTTATGAATAACTATGGCCAAAATTAAACAAAAATACTTGGTAAAACGGATACTGGTGTTGCTGAGAGGCTGTTTTGCTGGTTGCTTGCTTGTTGACACGTAGTCTGGGTGTCTAATGAGTTAAATCAGCTCATATGGAGAGCCACTCTACAGCGTGTCTAGATGTTGTTGTCTACGTGACGACGCTCCCGGGGAAAGACGAACTCAAATGTTTGGTGGTTCTATTTATGTTTAAGGAGTAGAGTATTAAGCTATATTCCTAGTGTTGAAAATTATATTCAGTCTTTGTGAACACTTTTTTATTAAATTTAAACACAAGACTGTTGTATGAAAAGATTATGAGTAATGTAAATATGTGACGTCGATGATGTCACAGAATCACCCACTCTCTTTTCTTTAAGGGGATACTCATGTTATTATGTGTGTCGGATTTCCGACAAAAGAATCAGTGAGTTGTAATTAGAGTCATTAATTAACATCATTAGTGAAAAGTAAGGTAATTAGCAACGTGATGCCTAATTCTTGGTTGTCAGCTTGTCTACGTGATAAGCAGTGTTAACGTAAATCACCATGAGTTTAATTAGGTGTTAGTACGACGGAAATTGAGGTGATTACTGATTGATTGTTTAATTATCATGTCATAGTAATTACCATCATTAATCACTTTGAATTAATATAAATCATTAAATTTTATGTTTGAATTGATATGATGAAATCAATTGCTTTGTCTTTGTGACATAACCTTAAGGTGACGGCTGTTTGTCGTCCGGAGAGACAAGCCTTAACGTAAATATTATGGTGCACAGAAGATTGTCTGTTGTGTCTTTGTTGTTGTTATTTCAATTTTTTTTTGAGATATATACAAGAGTTGTTACATTCTTGTACAGCCACTAGTACGCGTAGCGTTTCGGGCAAGTCCTTAATCCTATGGTCCCTGGAATACGATCCCTTGCCGCGAAGAATCATTTTTTCATCCTAGTACACATTTTACTGTTGCGTTAAACAGAGGCTACAGTTAAGGAATTGCGCCCAGTAAATCCTCCCCGGCCAGGATATACGAACCCATGACATAGCGCTCGCGGAACGCCAGGCGAGTGTCTTACCACTACACCACGGAGACTGCACCACTACAGCACGGAGTGTTTTGCCACAGTTGGTAAATTGCTAACTTGTGTCCGAGTGAGCACCTGCTGTTCAGATTAGTTCATCTTGTTAAAGCCGCAAGAGGTCAGAACTAAGTTTGACTATGCTAGCTAAATGATTAGTTTTGCATAGTGTCACATCGGACTTAACGTAATGTTAAAACTACTGTGCTTTGCATTGTTATTATTAAGTTTTGTGAATAAATGTTAATTGTTACTTAACAACAAGTGTCTTTCCATCCACACCTTCAAATACTCGTGTCTCTAGTATTTGACTCTGCCACATATTCGAAGCTGATTATATCCTGTTCTGGATACTTATGGAATCGAAACAATTTCATAGCCACACACACACACATACACCAATATAATTTGATGTGAGATCCCCTAGAGCTACCCCTACAACTACCATCAGCAGTTCAAGGAGCTCCACAACCCAGTGGATACAGAGTGCCAAAGATTTGGACTCTGACAACGGCTCTATGCCACCTATTTAAGCCTTAAAGTAATAAGCTACTCTCCCAGCATTTTCTTTGGTGTTTGTGCAGTCCTTTCTGACTGAGGTCACTTGTATTAGTGCCATCCCCAATAGACATAATCTCACTGCCTCATAGTCATGATCATGAGAGGGAATGCTTGCATATTTTCGAAAATTTTGATAATGCTTGCATATTTTCGAAAAATTTGAAAATGCTTGCATATTTCAAAAACATAAAAAAAATCAAAGTTATAATAATACAATTATGGACCCCCCCCCCCCCTGCATAAAAAATTACACTGGTGGTCACGTGTTCCAGTAGTACTGCTTAATTTCATTCCAAATCTCGTAATTTTTGCGAAATAAAATATATTTGTTTTACATTAGTGATATTAGGCATCTGAGCCAGTGGAGGCGCCAACTAGCTGGTGGTCGGGGATGGTGATGAAGTATGCTATTAGAGGGTGCTTATCTGGAGTTTTCTTCGGTCGCAATAAATAATTCACTATGCAAGACTTGTTTTATTCATATTGTTACTGGTTAGTGTATAAGGTAATTAGTATTTCGTTAGCTAGAGGAGATAATAAAGCCAACAAAACTTAGCTTGTTATATGCCGCCACCATACATGTTAAAAGCACGGAGGGAGAAAACCTCCGTGAAACTCCACTCTACTCCTTGCTACTCCGTCAACTAAATTCATCATTTATTGAATTTCACAAACATTATTGTATTTGCAATAACTGTTATTGTGTTACATGTTTATTTTGGAGTGTTTTATAAATAGATTTTTCCTCGAATCACCTGCCACGGAAACATCTGTTTCCCAAATTTACCACCGAGTACTGTCAGGGATTGGGTTAAGGGTCTGACGACTTCCAATTCTTTTGAATAGTCAATGTGGTCTAGCGGGTTAAGTACTGGATATGTTAAGGTGCATGAAGTTCAAATCTTAGGTTCGAATCCTTCAGGTGTGAGAAGATTTCGGTTGCATATTGGCTTGGGGACCATTCAAGCTTATTCGCATTAATGTTGCTCAAATGGCCCCAACATGTGAAGTGATTCGATGAAATATCTACCCCAAAAATTGACCACGGAGTGCTGTCGGGAATTGGGTTAAGGGTCTGACGACTTCCAATTCTTTTGAACAGTCAGTGTGGTCTAACGGGTTAAGTACAGGATATGCTAAGGTGCATGGAGCCCTGGCTGACTGGGTTCGAATCCTTCAGGAGCTAGGAGTTTTTGGTTGCATATTGGCTAGTAGATCATTCAAGCTTCTTCGGAACAGGAGAGTAATACTTCTCGAATGTAAAGGAATGTTATGGCCACTGCAGGTCTGCAACATATTACATTCCATAACTTTGGAATAGAATTGCGAAGCATCTTTAATCTTCTTTGTAATCCATAGTCATGTAAGACACCACTAGGCTTGCAGCTCAAGGACACCTTCCATGCTCTAGTCCCTCCACATCTGCCCGAGAAAAAACTTAATCCTTCAAAATCAGCTTTATAGAAATCTGTCAACCTAACAATTTTTCTCTCATGCAATTTTATAATTCTACTTAAAACTGATTTCTTTTGTATTGCTGTCCCTACCTGACTGCACATTTCCATTTTATTTACTTACCATTTCTTACCATTTCCATGGTATGTTGCAGGGACAACATGGATCCAGGAGATGGTATGGTGCCTCATGAAGGACCCAAAGTCACCAGAAGCTTCACATGAGCTGATGAAGAGGTTCCCTTTCTTTGAGTATGTATTATTGGTCTTGTAATGTATTCTATGGTATCTTAGCAGTGTACGATAATCATGCGGACAGGATTACACATGTTTACCAAAACATGGCATAAAAAAAACAAGACCAGTTTTTAAAAGAGAGAGAGAAGCTGCAGTGTAGTTCTGATGTTGTAATGGAACTCACTCAGGTTCTAGGTCCTGTGACGAGCTCAGCCTGTCTTGCACTGCTGGGCACTGTCCGTACTTACGGTGAAGCTAACCCCAAAGACCAAGATGTGTGAAGCACACTGGTCATCACTCTTGGAGGCTTGAATCTCCAGTACCTCACACTGGTCGTCACTGTTGGCGGCGTAACTCTCCGATGGTGATAGCCGAGGCTATTTGAACCACCACCCCGACGGCACTTTGATGGGAATCTTGGGCATAGCTCGTTCATCAAATCACCTCATTTTGTGGGGCCACGTGAGCAACACAAATGCGAACAAGCTTGAATGGTCCCCAAGCATATATGCATCTGAAAACTCCACACCTCAGAAGTGACTCGAACCCGGGCCACCAGGAGCACATTGCCTTACCTTACTTAGGTACACGGTGCCTTAAAACCGTACACAGTTTTAAGGCATCGTGTACACCAATTGCAATGTGCTCCTTATATATGTATATATATATATATATATATAAATTTATATATATATATAAATTTATATATATATATAAATTATATATATATATATATATATATATATATATATATATATATATATATATATATATATATATATATATATATATATATATATATTATTTTATTAATTCATAAAACCTAGAAGGGGTACCACCTCTGGTGCAAGTGTAGGGACCGATAGCCTCGGAGAAGAAAATAAAGAGTACTCAGAGAAGACCTTGTGGATCCTCACTGAGCACTTTGATATTTTCTTCTCCTACCACCCTTATTCTTTTGGTATGTGTGCATATTTATTGAACTTTATTTGAAAATTTCATTACACAAAAAAAGTTACAATATTGATTACATGCAGGGTACAAGGCTGCTTGTCAAAAGTTGAACAGCTCCTCCAGCTCCTCAGATGGCGGGCAGGAACCATGGATGCAGTGAGCATTTCCTCTCTGGATTGCCACACCAAGGCGCTGAAAAAGAAAACTGGTAGCTCTAGGGTCTCTAGTTGTTTCGATTAGCTTAGACCCCCAACTCCTTCAAAAACCTAGCAGCACTTTTACCCCAGGCACCAAGTGTCTCTGAGGCAATGGAGACAAAATTGTAGTGGTGCTCAAGGTCTCTGTATTTACGTGACTTGGCCGCTTCCCGGTGATTGGCAGCTCCTCCTGCTTGTGTAGCACTGAAGTCAACATAGGTATTGGCTAAAGTTGAAACGCAAGTGTAGTCCCACACCAACTGTTTACCATTCTTCCAGGGGTTCACCGTGATTCCGTCTGGGCGACCGACAGGCTCATCAGAGTTGCGGGACATTAGGTAACGGGGCTCTCTCTCTGCTGGACAACCGGCTGTGGTAGGGTTTCTCTTAATAATGTCATTGACCTCGCCGTGTCTTGCATGCCATCCTCCTGTCCTTTGGCAGAGAAGGCCATGCCGACCGTATCTGTCGGCCTCTGCCTTGCCGTAAATACACCTGTATTCGGTGTGGATTGGGGCAGCGAGGCGGAGAGCTACGGGAATTCGGAGGGCCTGCGGAGTGAGACGGGTGCCGGTTGCTGACATTGGGGTTGTTAATAGGAAATCACCTGCATGGGGAGCTGCTACAGCTCTAAGTCGGGCAGTCTCATGTGGTGTTGTCGCAGCTTCTAGCAAAGTCGCAGCTTCTTGGTCGGCAATGGGGCGATCCCAACAACTCGCAGCTTCTTGCTCGGCAATGGGGTGATCCCAGCTGGATTGCTTATGGGCTTCAGAAGGCGGTGGTTGGGGTGCTGGTCCTGCGAGAGAGACCCATTTGGTTGTGCAGTCTGTGAAGCTGGTATCATGTACCCCTGCCTGTTGAACTAGGTGCTAGAATATATATATATATATATATATATATATATATATATATATATATATATATATATTTTTATATATATATATATATATATATATATATATATATATATATATATATATATATATATATATATATATATATATATATATATATATATATATATATATATATATATATAAATAACTGAAAACTCACACCCCAGAAGTGACTCGAACCCATACTCCCAGGAGCAATGCAACTGGTAAGTACAAGATGCCTTAATCCACTTGACCATCACGACCGGACATAATGAGGTGATAGCCGAGGCTATTTGAACCACCCCACCGCCGGCACTCGGATAGTAATCTTGGGCATAGCATTTTACCAAATCACCTCATTCTTTGGGGCACACGTGAGGAACACAAATGCGAACAAGCCTGAATGGTCCCCAGGACAATATGCAACTGAAAACTCACACCCCAGAAGTGACTCGAACCCATACTCCCAGGAGCAACGCAACTGGTATGTACAAGACGCCTTAATCCACTTGACCATCACGACCGGACATAATGAGGTGATAGCCGAGGCTATTTGAACCACCCCACAGCCGGTACTCGGATAGTAATCTTGGGCATAGCATTTTACCAAATCACCTCATTCTTTGGGGCACACATGAGGAACACAAATGCGAACAAGCCTGAATGGTCCCCAGGACAATATGCAACTGAAAACTCACACCCCAGAAGTGACTCGAACCCATACTCCCAGGAGCAACGCAACTGGTATGTACAAGACGCCTTAATCCACTTGACCATCACGACCGGACATAATGAGGTGATAGCCGAGGCTATTTGAACCACCCCACAGCCGGAACTCGGATAGTAATCTTGGGCATAGCATTTTACCAAATCACCTCATTCTTTGGGGCACACGTGAGGAACACAAATGCGAACAAGCCTGAATGGTCCCCAGGACAATATGCAACTGAAAACTCACACCCCAGAAGTGACTCGAACCCATACTCCCAGGAGCAACGCAACTGGTATGTACAAGACGCCTTAATCCACTTGACCATCACGACCGGACATAATGAGGTGATAGCCGAGGCTATTTGAACCACCCCACCGCCGGCACTCGGATAGTAATCTTGGGCATAGCATTTTACCAAATCACCTCATTCTTTGGGGCTCACGTGAGGAACACAAATGCGAACAAGCCTGAATGGTCCCCAGGACAATATGCAACTGAAAACTCACACCCCAGAAGTGACTCGAACCCATACTCCCAGGAGCAACGCAACTGGTATGTACAAGACGCCTTAATCCACTTGACCATCACGACCGGACATAATGAGGTGATAGCCGAGGCTATTTGAACCACCCCACCGCCGGAACTCGGATAGTAATCTTGGGCATAGCATTTTACCAAATCACCTCATTCTTTGGGGCACACGTGAGGAACACAAATGTGAACAAGCCTGAGTGGTCCCCAGGACAATATGCAACTGAAAACTCACACCCCAGAAGTGACTCGAACCCATACTCCCAGGAGCAACGCAACTGGTATGTACAAGACGCCTTAATCCACTTGATCCACCTCTCTCAAATGCAGATATAAACAAAGTCGGAGATGCGTAAGTTCTATTCAGTTGTGTATTTGTAAACTAAAGTTATTGAAAATGTAATAAGTTTTACGAAACGCGCTCGTGTCGCGTCAGACTAGAAATAAAAATGAATTTTGGAGAATTGATTTTTGATTTACCTCCAACAGTGAAAAAAAATATACGAAAGATTGAGAAAATTCGTGTTAGAATTATTAATCTTACTTTTTCGGTCATATTTAATAATATATATATATAATATATATATATATATATATATATATATATATATATATATATATATATATATATATATATATATATATATATATATATATATATATATATATATATATATATATGTCCTGTATATATATTATTAAATATGACCGAAAAAGTAAGATTAATAATTCTAACACGAATTTTCTCTATCTTTCTTACGTTTCTTTTCTCTGTTGATGGTAATTCAAAGATCAATTCTACAAAATTCATTTTTATTTCTAGTCTACCGCGACACTTGAGCGCGTTTCGTAAAACTTATTACATTCTCAAAGACTTTAGTTTACAAACACACAACTGAAACTGAATAGAGCTTACACATCTTCGAGGTTTATATCTACATTTGGGTGAGGTGGATGAGGTGAAAAACGAACTTTTAACAATGGGTATTCAATGGGTATTAAATTCCAACACAAGACAGAACACGAAACAATGGGTATTGAATGGGTACTAAATTCAAACACAAGACAGAACACGAAACATTGGGTATTGAATGGAAGTAATTGTAGAAAGCCTATTGGTCCATATTTCTTGATGCTTCTATATTGGAGCGGAGTCCTGAAGTGGGTAGAATATAGTTGTGCATTAATTGGCTGTTGATTGCTGGTGTTGACTTCTTGATGTGTAGTGCCTCGCATACGTCAAGCCGCCTGCTATCGCTGTATCTATCGATGATTTCTGTGTTGCTTGCTAAGATTTCTCTGGTGATGGTTTGTTTGTGGGAAGAGATTATATGTTCCTTAATGGAGCCCTGTTGCTTATGCATCGTTAAACGCCTGGAAAGAGATGTTGTTGTCTTGCCTATATACTGTTTTTTTTTAGGCTTACAGTCCCCAAGAGGGCATTTGAAGGCATAGACGACGTTGGTCTCTTTTAAAGCGTTCTGCTTTGTGTCTGGAGAGTTTCTCATGAGTAGGCTGGCCGTTTTTCTGGTTTTATAGTAAATCGTCAGTTGTATCTTCTGATTTTTGTCTGTAGGGATAACGTTTCTACTGACAATATCTTTCAGGACCCTTTCCTCCGTTTTATGGGCTGTGGAAAAGAAGTTCCTGTAAAATAGTCTAATAGGGGGTATAGGTGTTGTGTTAGTTGTCTCTTCAGAGGTTGCATGGCGTTTCACTTTCCTTCTTATGATGTCTTCCACG